CAGCAGGAAAAGCTTACATCTTCACAATATCACCATCTTCCAACACAGACTCATCACTTGCAAGAGGTGAGAAATGGCAGACAGTATTGTTCACAGAAACACAAGTTGGGAAGGCAACACCCCTTTCAATCTTCTTCTTAACATTTTTGTACATGTTACCAGTTTGCCTAGAAACAACAACATCATCCATACACATATATATCAGGTCCACCAGAAAAAACTAACTCCAACTACCAAAACGTTAATCAACCGAAAGAGAGCTTACTCTCTGATGTATGAATCCCCTTTCTCACAAAGGTCCACGATTTTAGCTTTAGGTTTGCATTCGGATAATACTAGCTGCAAAGCCTCTGCAAAACATAAATCCAAATTCCAGTCAATTACCTAAAATAAGTTCGAAGAAAACCATCGAAAACCAAACACCAATTACCTTCATTTTTCCCAATACCCAAATTATACACAACAAATATGCCTAAATTCACAAACACAAAGATGAAGAGAGAGAGAGAGAGAGAGAGAGAGAGTTACTATTAACAATCTCAGCGGCGCTTTTGTATTTAGTGACGACCTCCGGAGAAGTGAGATCCAACTCCTTCTCCTCCCTTTCATCGTCCGACATCGTTTCGAAGCTCTGAAATCGCTCTCGAATCTTCAAAATCAGAAAAACGAAAAATCAAAGACCCAAACACAAAAATCAGAACTCAAAGGAAATGACGGAACACGATGAACGATTATAAAATTGAACTGAAAATTTCGCAGAACTCACATCAAATATCGGTTGACGGCGAAGAGACTGAGCTCGGGAATGAAGAATCTAGGGTTTAAGAAATGGAAAAATGTAGAGCAGAAAAGGTAGCTCGGTAGTGCTAGGGTTTCGATACACGGCTGGCTTTGCTTTAAATAGGATTTCTCACCTTAGTTAGGGTTTTATATTTTGCTTCTTTTTTTTTAACTATATATATATATTTAATTTGAGGAAATTTTGGTAAATATCCTTAAAATGATATCATTTAAAAAAAAAAAAATTTGATTCTCAACATTAACTTATTTTTTACACATTTAAAATAAGTAATTTGATAAATTACTAGATCTCAACTCACAAATAAACAGCGTAATTTAATATATTATTATTTAAAATTTAATAAATTATTATTTATAATTTAATAAATTATTATTAAAAGAGTATTCTATCACAATAAAATGATAAAACTCTAAAAAAAAAATGAGTTTAAGTGTCAGTTTTTACATTTTTTTCTTTAATTTGTTTTTTAGATTAATTATTTATTTCATCCGCATTAGAGTGTAGTACATTTTAGAAAATGCTCGGTTCTTCGTTGCTTGTACCTCACCTCACATTGATTTTTCTTTTTTTTTTGTAGGGGTTATTTTCTTTTCTTAAACTTGTATTATCTTCTTTTTATTGCTTAACAAAACAAAGAAACAGTTTTCTTGGATTCATTTTGATTATTTGTACATGACGAAATTAATGGTCACATTATATTAAGAGCCAATAGACAATTAGGAGTCCATTAGAGCGTAATACGACCGCCTACAATCAATGTAGCTGTAATATAAATAAAGCGACAAAAACATATGTTTTTGGATTTTGTTTTAGAACTGAATGTAATAAATGAAAATTGGTTTTTTTTTTTTTAGTTACAGAAAAAACCAAGAAAAGAAATGCCAAATTATATTTGGTTGGGAGTTTTTCTCATAGGTCAGTCATATTGATAGTGTCAATTTATAAATATTGAATTAAGTTAAAATCACATCAGATTAAAAAAATATGTAAAAAAAAAATAATTTTTAATACAAATATAATAGCTAAAAATAAAAAATTACCGGTAGTTTATTTTTTCTAGTCGTACTAAAAAAAAAACTCCCTATTTGGTTTTGCAAACTCTGAAAACACAAAATAAAGACAACATATGCAAATCTCCAGTTGTTTTTTAAGATTTTTTTGGTTAATTGTGCAGGCTAATACTTTAAAAAAAAAGAACACACACCTGTGTGATGTAAATATTACATATTGATAAATGCATGATTGTTAATACTCCATTATTTAAACGTGTCTTATTACTGTGAGGGTACGTGCTCCTACCGGTTGCGAGACTAATAAAGAGAGCGACCCAAATTTTAGTCTAACAACATCCAATGTCATAACTTTAATTATCTTACATGAACCTCTGTCACTATGGGTTAGAGGAATTGATTACCTCCCATTCCTCATAAATTAGAGGGTGGTACCACATTTGCTCTCTTTTAACTTAGCCCCTTAAGAATATATTGTTATGATCATGTTACAAAAATATATAAACGCATTCATAGTAAAGAGGCAATCATCATAACTTGAACTTCATTAAAAATGTGGAAAAGTTATGCATACAAGTAAACAATTCACAAACATGTGGCATTTTTTAAATCGCATTCATGTTGTACGCGAGGCTTATACTTACTTGGATGATTTACAAATAATAATTCTCCAAGGTCAAACCGAATTCCTCAACAAAGTTGATTCTATGTCCAAATTAAATTGACACTAGACTGCGAGTTTACTTTATACTTTCTAACTCTACTCATATAAATTTAAGAGTCAGATCTTAACAACTCTAGGATTAATTAACTTAATTAATTATCATTACTTAAACAATTCATGATATTTCATAGAATTTAATTAATTAATTAATTTTAATTAATTAATTAATCTCGCCAATTAATTAATTAATTTATAAACTTAATTATTTAATCAATTTCACTAATAAAATAACTATCTTTAAATGTAGTTAATTAATTAATCTTACTAATTAATTACTTAATTTCTAAACATAATTAATTAATTGACTTGTAAACTTAACTAAGATTTATTTAGAAAAAATAAACCTAACTAAGATTACCCTTAATTTTAAAAATCCTTCTCAAGATCGTATTGGGTTGTATGAGTTTTTATCCTTAAACTTCATCACCTAATAATTTCCTTTCGACAATTCAAATGGTTATTTTATTTTTCACTTGGCCCTCGAGCCCACTTAATCTCCCTAAATTAATTGGACAACAATTTATTACCCCTTAAAATGATATAACAATTTATTATTAACCCTCACACATTAACTCTTTTATTTCTACCCCTTTAAATTACTACTAATCAAATAGCCCATCAGTAGATTATCAAAATACCCTCAATGGTCTATGATTTAAAAAGATTCTGATAGGTTCCTCAGTCGCCGACAGGGTCACTGATTGATGGGTCTATGATTGCCAACCGGTGGGTCTCCGGTGGCAAGTCGGCCATATTCTATCAAACTAGAATTCATAGTATGACAGGTTACGCTGACGGACGAGTCTCTAGCCGTTCAGATTATGATCCATAGTCTAATAAGTTACATTGGCCCAGACTATAGATCATAATATGTAGTCTTTGATTGCCAACTAGCAGGTTTCTGGTTGCCAGCCAGTGGGTCTCCGGTGGTTGGCTGGCCATTGTCTGTCAGATTATAACTCATAGTTATATAGGTTACGCTGACTTAGGGTCTTTAGTTATTCAAATTATGATTCATAATCTAACAGACTTTGATGACTATGATCCAAAGTCTGTAAGATTATGATCTATAATTTATCAGACCATGACTCATAATTTATCATATGATTCATAGTCTGTCAGGTTATGGATCCTAAAACTAAACTCAAACATTATATTATCAAATTATAATCAAAATTTTGATCCAAAAAAAATTACTCCTACAAATTCCACACATTCTATGCTGAAACAACATATTACTAGAAATTTATTTCACAAACTAAATACAAAACTCCAACAGTAAGTGTCTTGCAGAACATGTGGAGTATTGTTGACTTGACAGTAGCTTCGATATCCTCTTCACCATCAACGTCAACTTCTTCTTCCTGCAATTTCTGCCCAAATAGCTAATGATGCACTCACACAAAGCTAAATTCAGCTTAACGGTACTGACAAATACATACAAGTATCAATTGGCGTCTTGTTTGTAAGTATCAAATAGAAATATCTTCCAGACGATATTAAACACATTTTTAAACATGAAAATCCTCTCCATATAAAAACAAAAATTGTGAAACAATTTAGCAAAGTATTAAACTCGAGAGAGAGAGAAGAAATTGCTTACTAATGAGACCAAGACAACATGAATTCACAGCTCCGACATCACAAGCTCTTTGATGGAGTTTCCGACTTCAAAGCTCTTCGATGGAATTTCTATACTTGTTCATCAAGCTTAGCAGCTTGATTAACTATCTCAGCAATGTTCACCACAACTCCTAAGACCTCGTTCGTTTCGTAGATTTGAGTTTTTAATTCGAGCTGAGATGTGACATTTTTTGATAATTTTTTACTGTAACAAAAAAAGTTAAATGTGACATTTTTTTAGAGCTTTTTACTGTAAAAACTTATAACTGAAAACTCGAATCGGTGAAATGAACGAGCCATAAATATTTCTCCAAATCACTTGGTATATTTGTTTTTTTTCTTTTTTTTTTTCCAGAGCAGCAAAAACGTATATATTACTTTAAGCCTACATATGTGCATTTGGATGTCACGTTAAACATATATTCTATTCAGATAACAACACTCAAGCATTATATAAATTCCTCGTGGTGGGAAGAAAAGTCGAAACTCAGGGAAGGAAAGCATGGAAAAGAATTATTTTCATAAATATCCTTCAAAATATGTATTCTGTTTTGAGTGTCTTTAATTTTTTAAATAAGACTCTTAAAGGATTTTGGTGATGCGGCAGGAAATAAATATAAGTTAAAATTATTATATTCTAATTAAATATCAAAATGATTAAATGTTAAAAAAATAACAATTTATTTTAAAAAAAAGTCCATCGTTTTCTCACCCCCTTCTCCTCTCTCCTCTCTCTAGCCTCCCCCTCTTCTCCCTCCCACCGAACTTGTTAAGCCCAGCACCATTTCAGCAGCTAAGCCATGTCCAAAATCTACCAAAAATAGAAGAGAATGAGAGAGAGAGCATCTTTGCATCTCGTATGGATAGAAAAAGAAAACGTTAAAGCATACCAGGGTTTGGAAATTTTCACAAAAGAGAAAAGAGAGGGAGAGAGAGAGAGCATTCTTTGCATCTCAAAAAGAAAAGAAAAAGAAAACGTCAAAGCATACCAGGCTTGGAAATTTCACAAAAGAGATAGTGAAATGAGTCTGTTTTTTATTGTTTTTATTATATAAAGAATTATATATATTTAATTACAGTTTAATAGTTTTAATTGATTTTTTACTCACAACCTCAGCAAATCTGTTAAAATTATAGACGGAATTAGACGGAAGGAGTATTTTGAATCGTCTTTTATAGATCGGGATTGTATTAAACCATTTTGAAAAATTTAAGGGCTTTGAAACAGAGTAAATACTTCGTGGGTATTTATGAAAATAATCCAAACTAAAATGAGACCTTAAGTACTAGTATATAAGACCATTTTAAATTTATGGGCATGTTTAGAACTCGTTGTAAAATGATTTTATTTTTTGTATGAAAATGAAAACGTTTTTAATCTCAGACAGAAATTATTTTTGAAAATACGTTTAGTAATTTTATCAAGAGATTGTTTTCAGTGTAAAAAACCTCATTAATGTCTCTTTTTCTCTCTCTGCTCGAGAGATGAGAAAACAAAAATAAAAAAATAAAAAAACGACTAAAAATCATTTTTTTTATTTTTCTCTCATTTTACACTAAACTTAAAAATTATTTTCATTTCCGTTTTTTGTCATTATTGCACCAAACGCCGTTTTGGAAACGTTTTCATTTTTTCTTTCTCAAAAAACATGAAAAACAAAAACGAGATTAATTCTAAACACAGCCTTTATGTCTAGCCAACCAACTTAGTTATGAAAACAAT